TTAAATCTCCGAAAGTTCTTCACCGATTGCTTTGAAATTTTGACACAACGTTGCATTCGAATACGCACGTGTTTTTATATACCTATATTATATAGATGTCACACCTGTGACAGGTAAAAACATGCTTTTTTTGAAAAACAGCGCCATCTGTTGGACGTAAAAGCAACACACGCTTTTACCAGACTGAGCCACAGCAACGTGTGGCTGGGTACAGCTAGTATTCAATAATATGCTGAGGTCTGTGAAAGGGATTCCAGAAACTTTACTTTTCTTCAAGATTGATTTGGAGGTCTCAGTCCATCAAATCTTTATTTGGGTCATAGATTAGCATAAGGTGTTTTAATAATAACATCGAATCTTATGAAAGATAAAAATAGCAAAAATTAGCATTGATATCACAGCATTGGACTATAATATTGAAACATTAAAATCTCTTTACAAAATTCTTAATGCTAAGTCTAATAACCTAAAATGGGGAAGGGCTTTGAAGGCTATAAAAATATGTATGTCTATGGAGATTCTCAGTCATCCGGGTCATGGTTGTCCCAAAGGTGCTTTTTCAAAAGACAACTGGATTTTCCTTATTTTTGCTTGAAGACGTTTCACTTCTCATCCAAGAAGCTTCTTCAGTTCTCTTCAGTTCACAACTGAAGAAGCTTCTTGGATGAGAAGTGTAACGTCTTCAAGCAAAAATAAGGAAAATCCACTTGTCTTTTGAAAAAGCACCTTTGGGTGTTGTGTTTAACTTCACGCCATGAACAGTTGCTTCTGTCCACTTATTAAAAAAATACAATTTGACTAGAAGAATCTAATACAAGTATGTGCATGCATGTATTTACTTTTTGAATAGTATGTACATCTAAAAAGAAAAGGCTCAAGGATAGCTTATAACAGTGATGGCAAACCTTTTAGAGACCAAGTGCCCAAACTGTAACCCAAAACCCACTTATTTATTGCCAGGTGCCAGGTGGGCGTGGCCCACTGGGTGGGTGTGGCTGTGGTGGTCATGACAGACTGGGTGGGTGTGGCCAAGGTGGGCATGGTGGGATGCCTGTGGGGATCCCACCATGCCCATGGTGGGATGCCTGTGGGGGCCGGGCAGAGTTGGGGGAGATCCAGGGGGTCTCTGGCAGGTGGGCCGGTAGGCAGGAGGCTCATCCTGAGGTGTGAGGCAAGGCAAGGCGAGGCAGGGCAGGAGTGCCATTGTCACAGGGCAAGACGAGGCAGGGGCCGGGGCGGTTGCTGCCTGACACCATTGGCACACAGAGGCCAGCGGCACAGACACCATCAGCACACAGAGGCCAGCGAGTGCATGGGGGCCGACAGTGTCCGTCAGCAGCCACAGCCTGCTGGCCCCTCAACCGGCGCACTCTGGGGCTCTGCAGCCCATCGCCAGCAGTTCAGAGAAGCCGCGTCTGAGCGGGATGGCCAGCCGACAGCTGAGGAGGCGATGCAGTGGGTTGTGCCTGGGAAAAGGAGAGCATGAGAAGCCAGGATGGATGGGATGGGGGGGAGGGAAACCAGCTGTGCTGGGATGCATGCGGCCACGTGGGACCTTGGCGAGTTAGCAGGTGGCTGGTTGAAGAGGGACGGTTGCCATCTCCGGGGCATGGCGCGCGTGCCCACAGAGAGGGCTCTGAGTGCTGCCTCTGGCATGCGTGCCATAGATTCACCACCACTGGCTTATAATATTTGAAACATGTTTTGAGTTTAAACCACAAGGCATTAAATAATCCAAAATAAATTCTAAAACAATTGTTTTAACTGTTTTAGGTTACTTATGTGCTTCAGGATTGGTGGCTTTCTTACTGGTGAGTGACTGTTTCTATATAAATCATGTAGACGATTAGTTTTAAGAAAGCAGCAAATGAAGAAATGAGGACTTTTGTATTATATACAATAGAAAAATATTTGAAATTACGCATGAAATAATGAAATAAAGTACACATTCAAAGTTTAAAAAATACCTTTGAAACAACAAAACAAAGCTTACAGAATATGTCAGAAAAAAATCAGTAAATGAAATGGTTGATGACAAATACCAGTATAAAATCTTTAAAGATTTTAGTATCCTGTTAACATGCATGTTTTAGCCTTAACTTCTTCTTGACTATATGTTATTGATTCAGTTAAATGAATTTTCAGTGAATGAAAATTCAGTTTATAAAAGAAATCGTGCATTCACAGATTTTGTTCATATAGGCCGTATGTTCCAATCCATCATGGGGTGTCCAAGCTTTGAGACAATCCAAGTAGAGAAGTGCCTTGGCATCTGTTTAAAAAACCTTTAAGATCCCAGATTGGGATAGAGTTAAAATATTTTAGCATTTTAAATTCTACATGATACTCTACTGTTTTTTAAAACAATTCAGTGTTGTCAATTGTATTAGATTTCTATGGTCTATGCTACCGTATATTGTTATTTGTTGAAAGGTAATGCAAATGTTTCATTAAATTACAACATAATTTGGAACAAACCCTATTTTTTTTGTATTTATTTCCAGGACAAAACTAAATGTTATGAATCACATAATATTGCCAAAGCATTGATTTTCCTCTTCCTTATTTAACATATAATAGCAGAAGCCAACATTTGGTTTATTATTTCAGAAATTACAGACTAAAATTGAAGAAGGACTACAGTCACTTTGACTACAAAGTGAGCTGCTTGGGAGCATTTGCTAAACTTCTTTGAAACTTAGAGAGACCAGAAATTTAGTCCAACCAATATGTTCTCACGTGCTTGCAAACTTGTTTGAAATATGTTCTCTCCATGTGTCCACAGGGCAAACCAGCAAGTAATGCTAAATATCACTAAAATGGAATATGGTGGGCAAAATATCACAGAAACTCTGGATCTTCCCTGGTATTTAGGAATGTATGCAGGTAAAAACTTTTAAAATGTCACTGTAATTTGCAAAAATCTAGGCCATGATCCCAAAATATGCAGTTTTCCTATAACTTTTAAATGTTACTAGACAACCTGTGTCCAATTGGGTCATTGTTCCAGTAATATTTCCTTATCATGTAAATGGTTCTGGTATATCCCCAAACTCTAGTATGCAACTCCACAAATTGCATGCATCCTCCCTGACCTGTGTGCCCCCTCTCAAGCACCCTGTGTACACTCCCTGATCTGTACAATGCCTCTTGCATCCTCCAACTGGTGTAGCACTGACAGGAATGGTATGCAGGAGTGTGGTGCAGATCAGGAAGGGTGTTGGGCGTGCAAGTGGTGCTGCCTGGGTTTGGGAGGTCATTGTGAGTGCATTGTGAGTTGGGGAGGTACACAAGTATGTGCAAGACATACCTTGAATGTTGGGTCCATGGGAGTGTGATGCTGGTCAGGAAGGGTGTGCGGCGTGCCCAAGAGAGGCTGGAGAACTTCAGGGTAGGGGAGACTTGAAACCTTTCCTACCAACTTCCCCATTACTGATCTCCCTGCCAGCTTCCCATAAGCAAAGATTTTCCTTGTGAGAAGCTGGCAGGGAGCACTGCCAATCCACAATCAAGTCTACATTTTCTGTCGGCTTCCCCATTGACTTGTGGGAAGCTATCAGGGAACATAAATGATGATCACATGACTCTGACTGTAACAGTGTACCTGTGCTGAATTAATGGCAGCACAGCAACACTGAAATAGCCACATCTTCCCCAAATTTCATTCCCATGGGTGTAATGGCTCTTGGAATTATGTAAATTACCTTATTGAGGTGCCTTGGTTCAAAAATGGCTGCTTTATGATGTACCATTTGAAGATTACAAACAAATAGTAGTATGTAGATAATTATAGATTAAGAAGATGTTGTTTTCTTCTCTGACTGTATTAATTAGATTACTCCTGGGACACCCCACTACACACTTCCCTCCATGTAGATGCAGTTCCATTGAGGACCACACGCTGCTTTGTAATTTGTTTTGGGGAAAAAAGCATACTTTGGGTCTTGTGTATGTCTTTGAACATATAATAAAGATGAAATTAAAAGAACATCTTTATTCCACTGGTGCCAGATTTAGCAAACATATGTTTTTGAACAACTTCCAGTGTTGGAACATTCACAGCTTCTGGAGGCAGGTTGTTCCACTGATCAATTGTTCTAATTGTCAAGAAATTTCTTCTTAGTTCTAGGTTGCTTCTCTTTTTGGTTAGTTTCCATCCGTTGCTTCTTGTCCTGCCTTCAGGTGCTTTGGAGAATAGCTTGACTCCCTCTTCTTTGTGGCAGCCCCTGAGATATTGGAACACTGCTATCACGTCACCCTTGGTCCTTCTCTTCATTAAAATGAATATACTAATAACTTATTAAATGTATATGCTGCCCAATTCCCATTGTTAAAATATTTTTAAAAAGCATTTAAAAAATATTTAAAAAATAAAGAACAACGTACAAGCCATAATTGTTTGGCTGGATCCTTTGTTAACTACATGTCAGCTGAAATGTAGCTCCATGAAGGTCTGTCAGTTATTTCTTTATGTATGCTTTCCACCAAAGAGGAATCAATAGCAGCTCTGGGCCAGAGGACTTTCTTTGGGAAAAAAATATGAGTCTCGCTTCCAGACAAGATGGGCACCACATAAATCCAATAAATAAATAATTTAGGAGATAAGTTTACTTATTTTAATGAATGAACCTAAGTCAGATCACAAGCTTATTCAAAAAGCTATTTGTTTTGTCAGCATGCACCTCAGTTACCTAGCTAGAGGCAAATAATTTGGGCAGAATTACTAATTTTCTTGTCGTAGAAGATTTGTTAAATTAATAGTATTTGATGTTAAACAAATTACTGCCAAACTACTATCATTGTGACGCATGGCTTTTTTTTTTAAAAAAATGTTTGTCAATAGATTCTTGAAATTGATAGATTACATTATGTAACGCTGTCCTTCATTTAAATACAGGTTTAACCGTGGCTACAATACTTTTCAGTATACTGAGGAGTCTACTTATGTTTCACATTTTGGTTAACGCAGCTCGGACTTTACATAACAAAATGTTTCAGTCAGTTCTGAGAACTCCAGTGCTGTTTTTTGACAGAAACCCTATTGGTAAGTTTCTACCACTTTACAATAGTGGAATACTCCTGACTATTCCAGGGAAGGGCAAGAAGAAGCAGATGATATGTGATTCAAAAATGTCATCACACCATTTGAAGTATGACATTATTGCATGTATGTTATTCTTTTGACAACATTGTTGGTGGCTTGTAGATTTGATTTATAGCAATAGCACTTAGACTTATATACTGCTTCACAGTGCTTTACAGCCTTCTCTAAGCAATTTACAAAGTCAGTATATTACTGCCAACAATCTGGGTCCTCATTTTACCGACTTTGGAAGAATGGAAAGCTGAGTCAACTTTAAGCTGGTGAGAATGGAACTGCTGGCAGTCGGCAGTCAGCGGAAGTAGCCTGCAGTACTGCATTCTAACCACTGCGCCACCATGGCTCTTGTATAAATATATGATTTGTTTTCCTTTGTGCCACTTTTCAGCTAAGTGGTATCTGCAGAATGTTCACATTTTTAATGTCTACTTAATGTAGCTGGAATTTTTTTTGCAGTGATGTCTTCTTTAGTTGACAACATGGCATATGCTTAAAGGTTCATTAATTGAGAAAGTGCAGAATAATATTTTCACCCTCTAATTTACGGTCCAACTTGCAACATAAAATTGGTTTTCTGTAAAAACTCTCCTTGTTTTCTTACTGCCAAAAAGGGTAACATGTTTAGTTTATTTTGATAGTAATATCATCATTCTAGCCCTTGTCTGTTCACTGCAGGATGAAGGCCTCTTCCTCATATTTCCAACCAATACGGTCCTGAGTGTTCTTTTGCTAGTTGGGCCCACAATACTTCCTGATGTCGTCGCTTCATCTTTTATTCGGTCTCTTTCGTGGACGCTTTTTATCAAGTGGGATCCATTCTAGGACTGCCTTGATCCACCTGCTCTCAGTTCTTCTTGCTATGTGACCAGCCCATTTTCATTTCAGTTCTTTTACTCTTTTGATGGCACCATATATTTGGTTTGTTCTTTAATCCATGTTCGTGTCCTTCTATCTTGTCTTGTGATGCCAAGCACGTATCTTTCCAGGGCTCTTTGCGCCACTCATAGCTTTTGAATTGATTGTGAGGTTAGTGTCCATGTTTTGCTGGCATATGTTAGAACAGGTAGCACACACCGATTGAAAACTTTTCAGGCATAGGGGGAGGCTGTTCTTGAAAATTACGCTTAAGTTGCCAAATGTCTGTCAACCACATTTAACACGCTGTTCAATTTCCTTTTTTGTATCACCTTCCATTGAGATCTGTTGGCCAAGGTATACGTAGTAGTTTACTATATCTAGTTCTTCTCCAGATATACATTTTTTCTTTCTTCAAGTGAATTTATTAACCTGGGTATTTTTCAAGTTTATTTTTAAGCCAAATGGTTCTCCTGCTTTGTGCAGCTCAGGTATGTGTCTTTGTAACTTTTCTGGGTCTTGTGAGAAGAAAGCAACATCATCTGCAAATCTTAAGTGGTTTAAATAGACAACATTGATTTCTATTCCATCTTTTGCCTAGTCTAGTTTGCGAAATACTTCTTCAAGGCAGGCTGAGAAAAGGATAGGCCATACATTTTGTTCTACGTTGATTTCCACTTTAAGATCGTTAATGCAAATTGTAGCTATTGTTTTTTCATATATTGATTGAGTAAGTTTATGTAAGCAACATAGTAGATTATAAAATCTACTTTGCATAACTCTGTGGGTATTATTCAGAATCTTTTCTTTCTTAACCTGGTTCTCACCATAGGTTTTGGGTTTCAATTCCCCTCATCCAGAACCAGCATGATCAAAGGCTGCATGAGGATTATGGGCATTAAAATCCAATGCATGTTCTCAGGAATGATTACTGTCAACTTTATATCACACATGCACACACATATACATACACATATATACACACATGTATATATATATATATATACACACACACATAAAGGTATATGTACATATAGTTTTAGCTGGTTTGTGGATATAATATTTAATATTACTTTTTAGGTCCATTAACCAAAAAGTAAATATGAACTGAATTGGTTTTGATTTACTGACTACAGTAATCTAAAAGAGCTCTGAAGAAATAGAAGTTTGCAGAGAGTCATAAAATGGCAGAAAAAAATATGCAATTAAGCTCTATACTAGATGCATCATTGTGCTGTAGTGATTCTATTGGAATTTTCTAAAAACATACAGGAGCCTTTAAACTGCTAGACAGAAAACATCAATTCCTGAGCTGGCTCAGGAATTCTGGGAGTTGAAGTCCATGAGTCATAAAAGAGCCAAGGTTGACTACCCCTGATTTAACATATCTCTGTTTTTCTTAAATTGTGACATCCTTTTGAATAATGGTGACCAAATTCCATTTTTCTCACTTAGTTATCTGGCAATATTACCACCTAACATTTTTAGAGAAAATGGCCTCAAGGTAGTTATATTGGAAAATCAAAACTTAAATGCAACTAGCAGTTTGGTATCATAAATATAAAAAACAATGTATTTCAGCTCTTTTATGCACTAAATCTAGACATGTACAATATGTCTTAAGTCACATATGTGTCCCCTAAATTATAATTGTAGTTAAGTCTAGTTAATTACTGATTTCATATTAGCACATGAAACCATGGCATGAAAGAGGCTTATAAATCTTAGACTGCATGAACTAGAATGAACATAGCAGGGATAACTCATCTGACTGCCATTGAGAGGTCTAACAGCAGGAAGCTCTTAATAATTTGAGATCTTAGCTCACCTTGTTTGAGAATAAGTAATATATTCAGGTAACTTCCACTTCCTTAAAAGCTTCTTTCACTGTCAACAGTTGTATCCTTCCTCCATTGAGTTCTGTGACTCACAAAGAACTTGGAAGAGAAGAAAAGTATTAAAAGGGAAGCTTACTAATGACCACATAACCAAGCCAAAATGTATTTCTGACTTTAACCAAGACTATTGGTTAATGTTTCATTCAGTGCAGAGTGAAAAGTAGTTTTTCTGGTCTTTTTACTTTTACAAAAGTATCATGCTAGTATCTCCCTGTGTTTTCTGCAGGCCAAACCTGGCTGGGCATGCTTAAGCGTGTTTCTGACATATGCCAGATTTCCAATTACAGTATTCTAGTTAAACTCTTGGAGCATCCATCACAGTTAGTATCTTAGTGGTATACAGCATAAAGCAAATATAAACAAATGTAAAAATGAGAAAGTGTGACCAGGAGCAGGTGGGGGTCGGGTAAGAGGATCCTGGTAGCTCCTTTTCTGGCTAATATATTTTATTAAAGGTTGTTGCAAGCTTCAGAAGAGAAAAAAAATGCTCCTAGGCAGCTGCTGATTTTTTTGTCACCATAAACTAACAGGGCTCTCCACCCATAATGTCTGAAAGAGAGATGGAGAGACTTAATGGGTGAATAATTAACATATTTTTTTTATTGGCCACAGTCATGGTAGCAGCAACAGCATTAAATAGACCTTTTTGATGAACCCCTTGTAACTAAGGTACTACTGCCAAGTGCTGGTGCAGCAGAGCAAGCTTAGTGTGCACCACCCATTCTTAATCTTGACAAAGTGCCTCTTGGCAAACTGCTAGTAAAATTTACCAAGTTGATCTAGTCTTTGAAAAATGGTACAGTAAGAAAAGACTATTACAACAGCTGCATTAGCTGAATCTTGAATAATTATGTCTTCTGTTCTTTTAGCACAAGAGGGCAGCATGAACTGTTTTATTCTAGCCTAGCTTTACTATGAATGCCCTTTTAAAAGAGGAAAATAAGTTGACTATTCTTAGTGTCATGTTTTGAGGACTGAAATGTGTGGATATAGATAAAATTTCTAAAGCCTGACTTCCATTATTTTGAATGTAATGGGGCCCTGAAGGACTATAGACACACTACCAATTAGTGTAAGCAATGCTGAGTTAAATAGACCAAAGAAAAAGCAACTTCATATTTATATCCAATATCTTAAAGGACAGGCAACTGTCTGAATTCTTAATGCTTAGAATGGAATGTTGACAATTCTAATTTGAGTTAAGATCATCGCAAGGTGCCTTGTTTGTTTTTTAGTTTTTTTCAGTGTTCATCAAACCTAAAGGCCTAAAGATTTGTCATGTAAATCACGTGGAATGAATTCCTTTTAGGGGCTGTGTGAAGAAATTCCTATGGTATTATTCCAAAAGTATCTAAAAGTGAGTGCACATCAAGAAACAAGGCACGGGGGCTTATTTTCTCCCTCTCAAAAAACAAAACAAAACAAAAAAGCAGGACTAATTGACCAACAGTATCAGAAGGAAGTTTGCGTTACAATTTGGCCAGATTGAATGGTGAGACTACTCAGGATAGTTTTTAGCAATCGTTGCTTGTTCTTCTTCTCAGGTAGATAGCATGTTTAAACAAGACATACTGGTTGGAAGGCATGTAATTTTAAAAGCAGCTAGTATTTTTGATGGATCATATGAACAGGTTACAAGGGGTAGCTTCATATTAAAATATTCCATTGGCAATATCATTCATCAGTCATATAAGCTCTTGGGCATATTGCCAAAAGATCACTGTGTTATGTCGGTCCAGAATGAATTACTAAACTGGTCTTTTTTTTTTTTTTTTTGAAACTAGATGTATTTTAGTATGTATCTATATCTGTATCTTAATGAAAAACGCACATCTGGAGGTTTTGATGATTTGCATGTTTCTCATTTAGATCATTTAAAATTACTGATAGCTTTAGTTTTATTTCCATTTCATTTGACTGAGTATCTTTATTGTAGGAAAATCTTTTTACTGTATGTTAATATTCATTGCCTAGGAAAAGTTTACTCTTCCCATTAATAGACAAAAGAAATCTAATAGAAATGACACTTTACAAAGTTAGACCCAGTGGAATGGCTTGTCTTCAGAAGTTGTGGCTGCCCCATCACTTTCAAGAAGAGGCTGGACAGCCATTTGTCTGAATGGAATAGACTCCTGCTCAAGCAGGGGGGCTGGACTACATGACCTCAAGATCCCTTCCAACGCTTTTATT